ACGTAAGAGATCAAAGGTCAAAATGTTCCTACATTTCCCTGTGAAAGAGAGAGGATTCCTTTTCCCGAGGATTCATAAACAAAAATATTTGTTTCATTACTCTAATAAACACACCAATGCCAATTTATTATTGAAAAGGACCACTTAAAACAGTGGCCCAAAATAAGTTCAGAAAAAGTTTTAGAACTCCAGGATGGAGGACAAAAATTAACAAAAACCAAAAAAAAAACCTTTTTTTCAAGTCCTTGGATTAAAAATCTATCAGAAAAGTTTCCTTTAGCAGCACCATCCGCACCAGCACCGTCATCATCAACGAGAGCTTTTGCAATTCTGGTGGAAAAATGTTCCAAAGACTCCTTTTTCTTATCATAATTAGCCGCTTTTTCTTCGATTTCACCGAAATTCGCTTTTATACGATGCGCTCCCATCCCTTTCTTAGCGCTTGACTGAAAACATGTCAAAAAACGGCATGAGAAAGTCAAACCGCTCCAACAGCTTCTCAAGCAACCGGCTTTGTGAACAGCAGACTAACGCTAACAAAATGCTACCAATTAGGGCACTTTTAAATAACTCTTTTAAAAGAGAATACAATGACGGAATTGATTTCGGACTATGATATGAAATCGAAGAAAGAAACAAATGTCCTAAAGAAATAATACGGAAAGCAAAAAAAAAAAAAAATTCCAAAAAAAAGAATGAAAAACAAACTGAAAAAATGAAAGATTACGAAAAAAATCAACAACGTTTTCGTTTGACAACAAACGGAAGCGATTTTTGCGATGGCTGTCACCTGACGGGAAGGCTACCCATGGCTCTGTTTCCCTGATATTGCATGGAAGCAAGCTAAAAACGGTTTTGACTTCTTAGCTTGACTTAAGTAGTACCAGATAAAAGCCAAATTGAATCGACGAACCGCATCAGAATTACTTTTTCCTCTACGGGAATCGAACAAAGCTCTACTTCACAGTGCATCAAGCCACCAACTTCTCTTTTTCCTTGACAAAAACAGGCGCTTCAGATTTGATATTTAAACCACAAAATTTTCCACTTTTTTCTTGAAGAAAATGTATCAAAGGATACTAGTACTAATGCCATGTACAAGGCACAGCTACTTCCGTATAAGAGCTACTATCAGAAAATTTCAAACTTACCCCAAGCTTTTTCACCGGTACTTTTTTTGTGGCAATATTTGATTTCAACAGCACATTTTGCTCACTCGGTGGATTATCGCTCAATGAAAGCCCTTCAACACTTGGCCCTAAAAACACTCAAAAAATTACTGCCTCATTAGCAAGACTAAAATTAGCACTTTTTGGCGCAGCAGATACATAATTTCTTAATATCACTCAAAATTTCGGCACAATTGACAAGCGCTTTTCCTACCATCATCATTGATGAATTTCTAGCAATCGGAACAATGGTAACACACTACTAAGGTTTTCCGGCGTC